TTGCTGCTAATGACCCGGGCAACAAACGGTTTTTGGTGCAATGCTCTGCCGCAGCTCAATTAATAATATGAATTTCTTATTTTGACACTTGGCTACATTTCCATTAGGTATACGCCGTGTAACCGGGCCCCCGTTCAACGACAACCGGTCGCAATTTGTTTACTCAAGCATTGGGGATTTTGACTTTGTTATGAGTGGTCTCAAGTCGGATTATATCATCGGCTTTAATTGCCAGCAATACCAAAAAATACTCGGCCAATTGCCCAGGCCAATAAATCACCAGAAAGCAAACTAGATTTATATGTGAGTAATATATATACTTGCTGTAATTACATATATATATTTCAAGTGTTATATCATGAGCATAGAAAAGTGAAAACGGTTTACTTTTTTTTTTTTTTTGCTTTGCTTTACTTCTTCTTCTGCTTTGTTTGAATTTCTATTTTGTGTATTTTTCCAGTTGCGGAAAATGTTTCTGTTAACGAACGGATGAGCCGCTGACCAACTGCAAGTGTCGTTTTGGCCATTATTGTTAGCTGTTGCCGTTATGCAATAGGTTAACCGGAAAAACGCCACGAAAAACGTGTTGATAACACTTAAAAACTTAGTTGCTCTATTAACTGCATGTGAATCGCCACTTTCAATGGCAGCAAATCAACTCGAGATTAAATTTCATTGCAAGCCGAGAAAATTATTATTTATTAAAAGGAGCTTAAGCTGATTGAGCTGAGAGTTTTGTATTTTAAATATGTTTTATTTGTTTTCTAGAAGAGTTTTTTTTTAGCCTTAGTGCAGTTGAAGAGCTTTCAGGCAGAGTTTCTCCGCTTCAAGCTGAAATTACTTAAATGACATTATTTGTATAGAGCTGTTAGATTAGACGTTTGTTTACATAATTTTACATAATTACATTTGAAACCCTTTATCAATGACACCTCATAGTGTGCCTCTTGATGGGTGTCAATTGCCAAGAGCCTCTACTTTGAGCTCGAAGTTTTATGCTTTTCCTGTGCTGAAACTAAAGCTGATTGAGTACTTTCAGATGCCATAAATTGCTTTACTGGAACATAAAAATTGTCCCAATGCAACTTGCTCTGATATGTAGCCAACAAACATTATAAATTTTAGCACAAAAACTTTTAAGTAATTTTAATGCAATTTTAGTTTTAGAAATTCAACATATAGAAACTGTAGATGCTGAAATGACTTGGAATAGTTCGACTTATTTCGTTCAAGTTGAAGTTCTGCTCGAATACGCTTGACGTTTTTTTAACTAGAAATCGTCAGGCTTCACTTCAACTTAAAAAAAATAATAGCTTAAGATCTTAAGATTGTGCAATTTCCAATCAGCTCAGCTTGATTACAAAAATCAAGCGAACGTTCGACTTTTACTTTTGATTTATTAAAGTTGGACGTGAGCTAAGAATCTGACAGCTGCAAATGAACTAAATTAATGAAAACAAAACTTAGTAAAAACAGAGTTGCAACTTACAGTTAAAAGTCTTGAAGACTTACTGCAACTTTGAGCTGTGAAGCACTCTACAGAAGTTCAAGCTGCGGCACTCCAAGTGTAACTAACTTTACATAAATTTGCGAAACTTTGCAAAGTCTAGGTAAATATTGCTTACAGTAAATTTATTCTGAATTTTAGAATATTTTCACACATTTATAAAAATCTTAAACAATAAAAATGTATAAATATTTGTTAATTAATAAATAAAATAAAGAGAACTTATTTTAAATGCCAAATTTAAATGAGCTACACTTCGATGAAGCTAAGGATCTTTGCTTAAGCCAGGGTTTATTTAAAAAATATTTAAAAATTAACATTTATTTCCATAATAAAATATTTAAAAAATTATGGCATGTATAGGAAAATCTTTAAGCTGAAAGAAAAAGAAGAAAAGTAAGCAGAAAGAATTTTTTTTCCATAAAGAACAGTTGAACTGAAGAGGCTTACATAAATCTATTTTTTTTTTAAATTTGATTTTGCTTTGGAAATTTGTGCTTAACTAAAAATCAGCGCTATCTGTCAGCCTACCCAGTTTTCAGCTCCACTGTTTCTTCCACTAATATCTTATGCAAACAAACATCGTTGTTTGTAAGCCATATATGACAAAATTAATCAAATTTCACTCAATTAAATATTTTCTTAGCTCTTTTGACTCTTTCAAAGCTTTCTCTGCGAGCATTCGAAATTGTTGCATTATTAGCTAAGTAACGAAAGTCCTTTCATAGTTCAATTTAATGATCGAATGCCTTATCAAATTAGGCCTAAAGCGTGAGCTTGAACATTTTTGTTAAGGCGCTTCCTGCATTAGATGGCTTAGCCCGCTGGCCAGAATGGCAATGCCAATCAACTCAATTGCAATATCATGATTGTTGTTGTTGCTGTTGCTGCTGGCTCGTTGCACATTTAAATTGCCAGAGTCAAACTTGGACTTGAACGGGGGAGGGGCGACGCCGTTAACATGTTCAGCTGGCGACATATTTCAACGCGCCAGACAGCTCAATTTATGATGACTTCGTTAAGAGCCAAATGGCAACAACAGAAAAAAAATCAAATTCGGTTCGAGTTTCAGTTTCAGTTTTCAGCTTCAGTTTTCGTTTTCAGTTTGCGTTTACGGCCTTTTGGTCGGCGTTACGGTTACAGTTTCGGTTGTGGGCTTTTAGGCAACCAGGAAGCAGCTACGGGCGCTGCATAATCCTTGTGGCAAGTTGAACCTGCTGGCAAACTGTTGTTGCCGCTGCGGCCGCCGTGCGGCTCACCATGAAAAGCCAGCAGACATAATCGCCAGCGTTTAACTGAGGCACAAGCTTCAATTACGCTTTTGACTTTGGTGCTGGCAATCGTTGCCGATACGCCCCCCTCTCCCGCTCCCCCTTCTCGACCCCTCCAACACTTCTCCCGTGTTGCAGGTTTGGCGGCTTTTCACAATGTGGTTGGCATGTATTTGAAGGCGGTTCCCATTGCGGCGCTCTCTGCTGTGCGCCTCTTACTCATTGTCGGATTGTTTTGCTAATGTGAATGCCGTTGTGCGTTTGCCTCTGTTGTTGTTGTTGCGAGCTTTGTTGCTTTAAATGTTGTTTTGAACTGTTGTTATATGAGTTGTATTTTCACTATCAGGCAGGAGCTGAGCGCACTATATAATAACAGCTGCGGCTTATGAGCAGGTTGAAGTCTTTTAAAGAGTTGAATCTAGATTTTTCTTTGCAGTTGTTGCAGTAATTCAAGTTATCAATTTTCTTTCAATTATTAAAATGCTTAAAAATTAAGCATAAATATAAAATGCCTATTTTTTAAGCATTTTAATAATTTCTTAGTGGTTTTTTAAGTATTTTTTATTTATATAAAATGTTTTAAGGGAAAATCAATCAGCTTTAAGTGAAGGCTGTAAAAAGTGTAAATGCTGAAGGCTCAAGGCAAGGTGACTGATGCTTAGCTTAGTTATTTGATCTGGACTGTGCTTAGTTACTACACTTTAAACTCATTGTAGCCAGGCTAAATATTTTTTAAAAAAAAACTCTTTAATGTTTAAAGTATGTGAAGCCATAGAGAAGCTAAAATTTTACTTTAAAATTATTTAAATTTCTTAACAAATTGTCTTAGAAATATATAAAATGAGAAAATATAGTAAATAATTGGCAATACGATAAATATAAGTCCTTGGTCTTTTTAAAGCCAAAGTGAAAGGTCTAAAGCTTGAAGTAGATTTTAAATAAATTTTAAATTCTCTGCTTCCTATTTCCTATATTTTAAGCCTATACTCAAACTAAGCTTTATTCACTTAAAGCTCTACGTGAAGATCGGAATAACTTTTATGGCTTATTTAATTAAAACTATGCTTAATGCTCTTTGAATCTATTCTACTGATAGTTTTTTGATACTATTCAAATAATAATAAGAATAACTTTTAAGGCTTCTTTACAAAACTTCTTCTTTACAAAAACTTCTTTACAAAAAAATAGAGCTTATTCGTTTAAAGCTCTTCTTGAAGCTCTTTGAATATAGTACTAGATGAATCCACTGCTATTGAATATATTACTAATTGAATTTATTAATATTTAATCATTTCTCTTAAAGCTATACTCCAACTCAAAGCTTAGTTGCTTAAAGTTAGTCTGAATTATTATTATTTTTATTATTATTAAAGGCTGCTTCAAGCTTCACAGAGATAATTGCTCCATATGTAATTATTTTAGTCTTATACTTAAAATTTAAATTTAAGCTTGATACATTTCAACATAAAGTAGATATAATTAATTCTTTTAAAACTCTAGACAAACTGATCTTAGTGGGCTTAAACTCTCCGAAAAACTCATTGTATTATCAGCAACTCCCTTCACTCCTTAAGACTTCACTTCAAGTTAATTTCTTCTCTTAAAGTTTAACATAAACTAAATTCATTAAAGTCAATTTTAAGTACTTCGTAACTCTTTTACCATTAACTCTACTTGAATTTCTAGTTTGCAGCGCGTTTACGAGTCGTCTAGACAGCCTTTGCTGCAATGTTTATGCCACGCTTTGTAGCACTTGCCGCAACGCTGGCCCCGGCGCTTGTTATCGCGCTCTGCTAATACAAAAACCGCTAAGCTGAGCAGCTCTGCCTCTCTCGCTCTCTTTCTCAATCTGTTTGCTGCTAGTCGTTAACTAAGCTGGTCAAGTATTGCAGCTGGTGTGCGTGTGTGTGCCTTGATTATGTTTTTATTTTACTTCCAACTTTGTGTCATTATATTTGTTAGCCTATTGCCAGCTCGCTCGCACCCAGTTGCACTCTCACTTGTCTAGCGTTTCGTGCTGTGGCACGTTTCACTGTACTGTACCCCGCCAATTTATCATTTTTTTTTCTTTGATTTTTTTCATATTTAAACGGCGTCGAGCGCCACTTGCCTATGCAATTCCATTTCTACTGCAGACGCTGCTGGAGCGCTGCAAGAAAAAAAATCAGTTTCGAAAAAAAAAACAACTAAAAACTATAATATTCATAAATAAAATCTGGCAACAAGGTGTTAAGCTCAGCGTGCCAAAATGCATTTGCCCCGAGGCGTAAGTGTTAATTAGATATGTATTAAAATTAAATAGAGAAAAAGATTAAACAAAATGAAGTGCAAACTGACAAAAAATAAAATAAATGTGCGCTCTGACAATAAAAAAATCATTTTTATATTCCCATTTATTGCCAACGACAAGTGCAGTTCACTGAACGCGTTCGGACACACAAATTATGCAAAAATAAAATAAACATTCGCCTTAAAAAAAAAAGAAAAATGTAAAATGCAACAAGTAAACCACATTGCAAACCAGCTTAGAAAGTACTCACAAATACACACACACACAGTTGCACTCAGACGCAGTTGCATAAATTACAAAAAGCCGCAATAACGGAACGACAACAAAAAATATTAATTAAAGATTTCAACAACAAAAAAACATTCATTGACTTCAATCGCGCGTGTAATGAACTAAATTATTTGTGCCAACAAATAAAAAACAGATAAAAAATTAATGGACATAAATAATATAAAGACATGTTAAATATATATACTTAACAAGTATGAATATATATATTTATATATATATATATACGTATATCGTGGCTGCAAATCGATTTAAAATTGAAACTGTTAAAGCAACACACAGAAATGTTTATAAATATTTGATTATCAAACGAGCCTTAAAACAAGTCAATAAAAAAATTCAACTGCAATATTTGAGTTTTTGTGAAAGAGCCATTAAATGAAAGCAAAAATATTAAAAATTAAAAATTAATAAATTTAAAAAAATATATTTAGTTGATTTACTTTTTGAAAAGTGTTTTAAAAATTAATAAATTTAAATAAATATATTTTTTTGATTTAATTTTTCGAATATGTATTAAAAATAAATTCATTTGATTTACTTTGTGTATTAATAATAAATAAAATGATATAAATATTAAATATTAAAATATTTGACTATATCCAAAGTGTATTTTGGCTATAGCTTAAAGACAGAATCATAGGCGCTCGAATGTGTCTACAGGTGTTTGGCTAGAGAGAACAAATTATATATTTAATAAATGAAAAAGTATATTAAAATATAAATATATATAAAATATACTCTACATTTAACAGAATTTATAAACATTTAATCTATTCCAACAAGCATTTGCTTGACTGTCTCTTAAGAGCTCTTCAGTTACTTGGCAAACATTTAATGTCTCTCGCTATTTGAAATGGCAATTAAAGCCAAGTGTTTGACAAATTATAGAAGAGCATTTAAAGGTTTAGTTGAGCAATTAAATTGCTGAATTATATTGCATTAATTTTCATGATACTTAAATTAAAATCACTTTAATTAGCTTCAACTATAAATCATTGCGTGCTTTGATGTGAATTTGTTAGATGCTCATTTCATTCATAGAAATAATAAATCATATTCATTTATATATGTATTAAAAGTCACATTTCTCTTGCTCTGCTGGCTGGAAATGAACCAATTAAATGAGGAAATATGATTTCGCTTCACATTTTGTGCTGCTCAATTTTAATTTATATAAATTAAGTGACTCTGCTACCGAATTTCGTTTTTCATTGACTTTTGTAATTAATTATTTTACTTAGTTAAATTGTATTTTATTAAATCACATTATATTTTATATATTTATGTTATAAATTTAATATATTATTTATATATTATAATTATTATTTCTATATATATTTATTTTATATTAACATAAACATTATATATAGATATTTTATGTATAAATTGTTTCTTTTTTTATTATTATATTGTTAAATTTAAATTTATTGTTTTGTGACATATATCTTTGATATATTTTATATTATTATTTTTATATTATAAATTATTATATAAAAATACAGCTTTTAAATGGTTCACAGCAGCTTCAGGTTGGATCCTTTCTATGTGCTGTTTAGTGCTCTTGCGTTCAGGTTCTCCCGCCACAATGTCTCTTCAGTGAAGTCACAGGCTACTTTTTAAGCGTCTTTGTCTTTACAAAGTTGCTTCATTATGTTCTCTATTATGACTTCCCTGATAGTTTCTGTCAGCTCCCTCGTTTCTACTATCCTTAAAAGTTTGACCTCCTTCTACTATTGATTGCAAGGTCGCCGTAAAGGCAAATGGATTTATGTAGCTACTTTCGAAGATAACCCTGACCAGAAAGCAATTGTATTAAGTAGAAAGACTTCATTTCTATTTAGACACTGCTGGCTTCGTTAAAATGCATATAACTGGCAAAAATAGGCGTGGCAAGCCCGAAAAAGCATATATATTGTTGATCAGTACGACACGCAAAGTCTATTTAGCCTTGTACGTCTGTCTGTCTGTCTCGGCTTAAGAGCTAGTAAATCCAAATTATAGTTGTATGTATATATATATATACACTAATATATTTAAGAAAGCAGCTAAGAAATTATATAATATATATATATATATATATATATATAGATATAGATATATATAGACAAATCTATGGACACATGTATATATATATATATATATATATATATATATATATATATATATATATATATATATATATATATATATATATATGGATAGCATATATATCGATCAGAAAGATAAGTTCGCATTTCCCTCTGCTTCTATTAGAAGTCTCAAAACTCCAAATGAGTGCAAATTCTCACTCAAAAAGGGTTCAGCAGCTCTGCTGCAGTGTCTTTTGAGTGACTTTTAGGTATAAAAGGGCGCACAGTGGCTGTGGGCGATCAGTCAAGTGCATGACCTGGACTAGGTCAGTCGTTGTGTTCAGTGCAAGTGGTGAATAAATTTAAGTTTTTTTTGTTAAATTGTTTAAGTTTAAATAATTTGTATTTAGTTAATAAATATTGTATTTGTTTAAATATATTTGTTTAATAAATATTTAATTGTTTAAATGTTAAAAATTTATAAATGTTAGTATTTTAGTTACGCTGAACTATTATTAATAAACACTAATTGTTATTATAATAATGAAGTTAGTCGTAATGATCATTCGGCATAATGATCATTTATGTTTTCGTGATCGTTTTCGTAATGCTAATTAAGTTAAGAGCATACTGAGTATAAGAGTATGCTGTCTTGATCTCTTTTTAAATTGTTAATTGCTAAACTTACTAATACTAATACTAACTTACTAATAAATGTAATAGTTGAATGTTAAGAGTATTTATTGTTTGTCAGAGGGTCTCTTCTCTTATTTATATTTGTATATACATATGTATTTATATTTAAAAAATATTTAAGAGCAAGAATATATAAATGTATTATATATATAAATATATATATATTAAATAACAATAAGAATAACATTGAGAAATGTTTGCTAAATAATCGATTTATGTATTACAAAATACATATTTATGACAATTTTCTCTCTTTAAAAACAGAAAAAATGTCTAAAATACATAATAAATATAATAAATAAATAAATAGTCAGCAAACATAAAAAATGTAAAACAATTAATATTAAATATTAATATATTATATAGATCTTATATAGCTAAATATACTAAATACCTATATATAATTTATATTTATACCTATGCCCAAGAGTTAAGAGTTCAGAGCATCTCCTAGTCGGGCATCTCGACTAGCGCTTTCTTACTTGTTAATTAATATTTATATTTATTCTTATACAAAATATTTAATTGGTACATTGCTCTACATCTGTAGAAATCCACACATATCCATCGTTTTTTCTACTTTTCATTTGCCTTTTGGCTCTCATCTCTTTCCTTAGCACACTCAACTCTTATCATTTTCATTAAAAATTTCAATCAGTCTCTTCAGGTTCAGGGAGTTCTTTCTGCAGCTACTTTTCGCTGTCCTTTCAATTAAAATATTTTCAAGCAGCCATCCACATCCTTCCTCGGGCTTACACATAAATCCTTTGGCAGCAATCAGTAGCTACTTAACTCGGTTATTATGCAGCAAGCATTTGCACTTGAGCTTCAATTATATGGCATTCGGCTTTCTGGCCGACCTTCAAACACTATTGCTTATTGATTATATGAGACTGGGGCAACTCTTGGCGTCCTCTCGGTACCTTATTAATCTATTTAATGGTTATTGCTTTGGCAACCTTTAAAGTATTAGTTTAAGCAATCAATTAAATTCGTGCAGCTGTTTGTCTACTAAGTTAGTTTGCTATGCTTCCTATATAGGCAGCGAGAGCATCTTTCAATATTTACACATATATATTTAATATTTTGCTTGAATATCTTTAAAATGTACTCAAGGCAGCTGTTGACCCGGCTAGGCCACATGGCCTGGAGAGCGGCCGTTCAACATGTTATTTAATGTGTTGGAAAGTGATGAGCTAAACGATTTGATAGCAAATTTTCCAATTTACCAATTTTCAATTTCATTTCACTGCGCCAAGCTGCTAATTGAATGTGCCTCGGGTTGAGTTCGAAACAATTTCAATTGAGCTATAGATGGAGGGAACGCGTAGAAAATCAATAACAGCTCATGGACTGCCTCTTAAAGCTAACTTTTAGCTGCTCGGTAATTGCGTTTAGATTTCGCCTTAAGCCACGCCCACAACAACTGCTGACAACGGCGGCAGGTCGCAATCAAAATTCGATTTGCCGTCGCCCAAAATAGACAGCAAAACGGCAACTGGCATTATGCTAATTATATTGTTTTGTTTATAGACGCTCGAGTATTTTCATATTTTTTAACACGCATCAATCGAGAGGAACAAAAATAAATATATGAGGCCTGCATACCCTGGTTGAGTAATGAATTCTTTTGCAGCTTAGACTTAATTGCGATTAAAAAAAGTCTTAAAAGTATAATTTACTCAAGAGCGTGCCCTGTATACTTAACTCCAGCCTTGTACATTTTATTTAAATTCAATTTAATAAATATAATCACAAATAACTATAAATATAAAATATAATAAAAATATATTAATATAAAAAATGACAAAAAATAAATTAAAAAAATTTATAAAAAATTAAAAATAACAATTTAACGAAAGACAAACATATATATATTAATTTTAAAGTATAGTCTTAAGCACATCAAATTGGGTTAGTTACATAATTGGTTATAATCATTCTCTATTCATATATAGTGTCAACCCTCTAAATATATCATATAAGTGCCTCGAGCTAATAGGCACATCGACAGCTCATACCAAGACCCTAATCAACTTCTTCTTTATACACGCTCTTCCTGTTCATTTTCACTTATTTGTATGTGTTTGTGTTTGTGTTTTTTTACAGGCATTAAGTTTGCTGTTTATCACTTGCATGATGTTTGCTCTGACAAGCGGCCATCCATCAAACGACAAGCTTAAGTAAGTGTAACGGCCACGCCTTTAACGACAGGTCCACAAACAACAGCCATAACCAGAAGAGCAGAGAACCTAAGACCCCAAGACCCAGAGCAAGCCCTAACTCCGACCGAATCCTGTTTTTATTCACATTTATTTTATTCGATGTTGCCATTTGCAGGATACGCATCCATGTGCCGGTGAAGCATCACACGCATGTGCACACGAAGACGGTGATAAAGAAGGTGCCGCTGCCCATTCCGGTGCCGGTCAAGGAGCACAAGGAGCCAAAGAAGCATCATCGCAGCAGTCACAGCCATCATCATTATCATCAGCAGGATGAGCTCGATGATGACTTCGAGGGTTACGATTATCCCGTCAAGGCCAAGCGGCGCACGCGGCATCCTTTTGTCTAATAATGCCCACGTGTGGGCGTCACGCGTTGTGGGCGTATCATCAAATGAGAGAACCAAACGACCACACACACACACCCACACACACACACGTAATTTTCGCATATTAAGCAAATATAAACCAAAATAATGATCGAATGAAATGGACAAGTCTTACTAAAAGAGATATATTTATATATATATAAAACTGGGTGTGATTTGTCACTGTTTAGACAATAAGCGAAACCTTTTCTGTGCAATAAACAAATAAACAAAAGTATTTTATTTAAGCAACATTTGAAAGGCGTCTTTTACTCACTCAAGTCAATAAAAGGAAAGGAGCCAGCTGAGTACCTTATGGAAATAATTTTGTAAGAGTTAAATTCGTTTTATTTTTCGTATTATTTTATTATATTATGAAAGTATATAATTTAATAAATATAAATAAAGCACTTACCGGGTTGTCAGTGTCAATCTGCAGCTGATTTTAATTTAGTTTACTTTGCAACACTTTGTAGAATTTTTAATTAATTTTTGACATTCTGCAAGGTTAATAAAATTGTTCCAAAATTAGATTTCATATGTATAATGTTAGAATTGTAAATTAAATTTGTATTAAAATATTTTTTGAGTGTTTATTGAAATGTTTTGTCCCTTCTTAATTTAATTATTATATTTTTATTTTTATTTTACAACTTTTATTTAATAATTCAATTATTTTTTATAGCTCTTTAAACTTTTTGTGAATATTATTTTTTAACATTTTTTTTAAATATTTTGAATTTAATTTTAAGATTAAAGGCAAAAATTTGGAGCTTGGAATAATGCCAGCTCACTTAATTTTTAAAGATTTTTATTTTTAAGCATTATTTATACTCTACGTGAATTTATTATCAAATTCTAAATTACAACAAGAATATGGTTATGGTTTTTATGCAGGTTTAAAATTAATAAAGTACAATTAAAAATATTTTTAAATTTAAAAAAGTCAACCTAAAAGTATGCTATATATGTCAGTTTATATATGACGAAAATAGTTATAGTTATAGTTATTACTATAATTAAATAATTAAAAAAAAATCAATTTAAATATGAATTTTGGCTAAGAAAATTCTTAAAGTTTTAGTCTAACTAAATTTAGACTTTTACTTTTAAACATTTTGTCCCTAAAAAAAAGGAACAAAGAGAAAAAAAAACCAATTAATGTGACACAGTTTTGTGGACCACACAAAAAGCGAAAGTGAAAGTGCAAAGGCAACAGCTTTGGCTATAACAAAAGAGACTTGTTGATTATGCTACCTGCCCAAGTGGCACGCCCATAAACGCAAATTGAAAATGGCAAATCTAAAGGTATTTGCATTTGCCAACAGAAATTGAAATTAACGTGCGGCAGTTAGGGAATAAGCCAGAGTATATAAATAAATAATTAAATCAAAAGAAAGGACAGCAGCTAAAAAAACAGCTAAAACAAGCCAAAAATAATGATGTGCGCTTGGCCCCTTTTTGCAAGCAATTGCGATTAGTGTCGACTTGAGACAGAGCAACAATGAGGCGGCGAGGCTAAGATAAAGCTGGCAACAGCTTCCACAGCTTATGGCCATATAAAATATGCATGCCTCAGGTACTGCCGCATACCCAAAGCATCAACAACAGCAGATGAAGCAGCGCAGATACTTTGGGGTTGGAGCGCAACGGATGGGTTGCTCTGTCAGCACGTGCTGCCCGTCTAGTAAACAAAAATGTTAAAAAAGAATCAACAACAACAACAACAACAACAAAATGTAAACAAGTTGGCAACGCACATTGCCACAGCTCGAGGCACAACTCTGACGTGGCAGCTGCTTGGCGACTGATGGCTCATTTGGCCAGAAGGCACTCAAGTCTGCCCAACCATCCAATTCAGACATACGAGCTCTCTGCCACTCGAAGAACACTCAAACTGTGCCGCCACTCAATTTGAGCTCCGATCGAATCTGTGCCACCAGCCAATCGCATTTAATCTGTATGCGTGTGTGTCTGCCACATAATTAATATGACGTCAGTTGCAACAACTAATCAGCGACGACGCACGCAACTAAAATCAACAATAACAATAGGTGAGCGCCATGCGAGAGTGAGCGTGACACACTGCGAGAGAGATGCCCTGTAAAAGTGAAAATTTGGATGGAAGGAATGTTACGAAAGTGAAGACGAGAGGGAAGTCTAGAAATATGAAAGGGAATTGGGAAATTCTTTTACTATTGATGTATGGTGACTACAAATCTAAAATAACTGATTTAATATCTTTACAAATTTTAAAAAATTATTCCTTCAAAATTTTTTCAGATAAAAAACTTTACATATGTAAATATAAAACAATAATTATATGAATTACATTGAAAATTGAATATATATATATATATATATATATATATATAAATATATATTAGTTTATTTATGTTACTCAGTTAGTAAATATTTTAATATATTTTTAGATATATAAATATTCATTTAAAAAAATTGTTAATAAATAATAATTAATTACTAAAATGCTTATATAAAAATAAAAAAGTTAATATATATATAAAATATATATTTCAATTTATTTAAAAATAAAAGAACATAAATTCATAAAAAAATATATATTATATACTTAAGTTGATCAAAAACTAAAAATGTACATAAATTTATTTTTAAGAAATCATATTATCATATTTTCATAATTTTTTTTTATTAAATTTATTTTTTTATTTTTAATTTACTTATTCTCTGCTTGACTTTCACAGTCATTGGCTAGGCATATACATGCTTATAGCTTAATTAGAACACAGAACTCAGATTATTATAATAAGAAATCTAGAAAGTAAAGTAGATAGACATATTAAAACCCAAATTTAAAGTTCTATAAGTAACTAAAATTCAATGAAGCTTACAGGGTATGCAGAGAGAAGAGCAAAAAAGATAAATATTCTAGCATATAAATAAATATATATATATATATAAATATATATATAACTTTCTCACTAAACCACACACACACACTTTCTGTCTCTCTCAATCCCATTCTATGCCTATCGCTCGCGCTCTCTGTCATGCACTGTCTGCACAATCTGGTATCGAGGTGTCAAACTCATATATTTACTTGTCGCCTCTTGATATTCTTGTTGTTGTTGGTTTTGCGGCTGTTGTTTAATTTGACGCGTTTATTTGATTAGGCCCGGCTAAGCAGAGTACGTGACTGGGTTAATTTGCCAGACACACTCACACACTCAGCCTTTCGCATGTGTAGTTCAGTGAGAAAAGTCAAATAAATCGCCAGCATGTCCTAAGTACATTTGCTTGTACACAAACATGTGCATACTTCGCATAACAATGAAAGCAGCAGGAAGACTCTTTAGATATGGCACACTGGGGGCACTGGCAGTGCCAGTGGATGGGGCGTGGCACTTGTATAAACTATTTACTGACTACTTATTGTTTGCCCATCAACAATGCCGGCTATCCAAATGCCGAAAAACCGAATCGGATCTTTTAGCCAAGAGCAAAAAGCATATTAGCTAATAGATGAAGGCTAAGAAAAGTGCCTTAGAGAAGGCTTAAATTAAATATTATAATTTAATTAATTAACAATATATTATATATACATCTTGGCTAAAAGCGGAAGAGTGTTCAATTGATATTGAAGCTTTAAACTCTCTAGAACAGGTGGGCTGTATGCCGGTGTCGCTTGGTATATTATTTATATATTATTTATTTATGGAATCTACCAATTAAAAGTACTAAATTTTTATACAAAATTTTAGATATCTTGATATATGAGATAAATTTGAAATTATTTTTGAAAATATATGTAAAAATATATATAGTAAAAGAGGATTTCTTTCAGCTAAGCAGCTTAGTAAAAAATAACTTCAATTTAATCCAATTAAACGATTTAAAAATCTGTAGAAATCCTTTCCCTAAAAAATAAAGTTAGTAAAATTAAATTTGAAAATATATATTTTAAATAAAAGCTCGGCTTAAAATTTCAATTTGCCTTAAATAAGGGCATTTGCATGGCTGTCTCGCAAATCTGGGCTGCATAAATCTGAAAGAGAGCTTTGAGCCTTGGACAAACAGGCACAAAATGCCTGGTCGACCTCATAACAAACAAAAACATTTTCTGCTTCAGCTGGACAAAATGACAATTTATGTCTCTCTATGAGGTGGCCCCTTGGCCAACCCGCCCGCTTTTGTGTATTTTGATGTCTGCAATTTTTGAAATACAAACAAAAATATAGTCAAACTCGAATTTGCTGACTTTTGCTTGCATACATTATATATTTATATATATATATATATAGTATAAACTGGGTCCCCAGCACAGAAATGTGCCTCAATAAACAAAAATATATGCTTAAATATTTCATAAAAACTTATGTTATATTTATAGGTGGGGGAGGTGGTGGGAGTGAGAGAGTGGGGACAACCTGTATGCCTTACATATGAATTATTTTAGCTTTTTTACTGCATTCATATTTTTATGACCCTTGGCTTCGGGGCCCATAGAATTTGCTGTAGAATCAATAAGCGAGTTCGCAGTCGATTTTCGCTTCCCTTTTTATTATTATGTGAGCATGCATGCGTAGGGGTTTTACGGTCCTGCCACGCCCCTTTTGGCGCATTTTATAGCCAAAGCGGCGGTCAGGTCTAGGCCCAGACCAAGGCATAGCCAACACTTTTCGCTTTGGCCGTAATGCATTGTGTCTAATACCCAATTAATTTGGGATTTGCCTTTAATGAGCCCTAGCCAACCCCCCCCTTCGCCCTCCTTTGCTTTTGCCATCCAAAAATTGTGCGTGTGGGCAGCTGGAACAGCGGACTTAATTAGCGCCCTGGCTAGAGGTAATAGACACAGTCATATAGCCATAAAAATGCCCACCAAATGGCCATACATTCCCAGACACACATACATTCCCAGCCATACACACACACACACACACACACACACAAAGTGAATTATACGATGCAACACGGCGACAATAATAATATCCATCTGCTGCACATTTGCCATTTTATTGTTATTATTATTATTATAGCCAAATGAGCACTTTTAAAATTTTTCAATTCTCTATTCATTATACCCATT